CTTTGCCAGGGCCCATCCTGGGGTGGATAATTGCAAACAAGATGAGTCAGTGGTTTGACCATGAAAACTACAGCCTGATTCCTCAGGACAGGTACTTCAGGAATTTCTATTCAGTGTAATGATAAATTGGTTTCTGCATTGGAGAATGGAAAGGAAGTGCACTCTGGACTGAGGTAAATAAGATCTTGCCCCTAACCAGTGCAAATCCACTCCCTGGATGTTATTCAAAAGGTCCTTATAGCCCAGCTGAAGAAGCTAATCTCTTCACCTGCATCATGCAGATGAGAAGCACTTCTAAATAGCGTGTTGCAAAGAGTTAGGTATGCCTGCTATGATTTCACTCCTGCAGCAACTTGTTAAGGTGCAGCTGGGAGATTAAAGTGGGATGTTTTTATGAAAAGTGAATGTAAAATTAATTTTGGTGGCCCAGATAGCACACAAGACAGGTGACTGTGATGTCTGTGTGAACCAAACAGGCTACAGGAGTGGGTTCCTTTAAGTCAAGGGTATTGGACTCATGCAGCACAACAAGCTGGAGGAGGGGCATGGAGCTAGTCTGCAGGCCAGATCAGGTCCACAGACTGGCTCCATGTGCAGGATCCTGGACACTCTGTATGTTTTTTTTTGCAGTATGTGCAGCTGGTTTCAGCCCTGCTCGCTGCATGTAGTATACAGGGCCATCTGGGGTATGAGCTACATGTAGCACCTGCACTAGCCTGGCTGTGTACACTGGAACCAGCATAGGGACCCGGTCTTCAGGCATGATCTGAACCAATCCTGGATCCATCACAGAGGGCCAATCTGGTGCAGGTGCTACATGCAGTGTGCACCAGCTCCAGCCCAGTGTAGCACAAGGTGCCACAGGACTGACCCAGGGTGTATGCCGCATACAATGCCCAAGCCAGACCAGCCCTGAGCACTGGATCCAAGCTGGGCAGCCTCTTTATGGGCCCAATCCAGACCAGCCTCAGAGTCAGCATGTCAGTGCAAGAGCTATATGCAGGACATGCCCCAGACTGAACCCACACTGTGTCCACCTCACAAATGTGCTATACATGCCACATGCTGTGTGCAGGGCCAGAACCAGCACATGCTGCATGCAGCAGAGAGCACAGCAGGCCAGATGATACAACTCCATGAGATGTACTTTTGACACTTCTGCCTGAATTAGATTGGAATCCTCTGGAGTCTCGTTTGAAATGGGATGAGACATGGGGCACTGCTTTCACCATCCCAAGTCACATGACATTGGTCATCACTGTAACCTGCAGATGAGCAGTCATGCTCTAACTCTCTGTTGAAGCATGTAGTGGTAGCAGATGTTCCCTTGGGTTCTCTGGGGCACCTTGACTCTCCTATTTGTCTCCCTACAGAAGAGTGATGCGGGAGCCTGTGTTGAATGATGACTTGCCAAGCCGTATCATCACAGGGAAAATCACAATAAGACCAAAAGTAAAGGAGTTCAAGGAAAACTCAGTTGTGTTTCAGAACAGCTCTGAAGAGGAGCCCATTGACATCATTGTCTTTGCCACAGGATACACATTCTCTTTTTTCCCTTTCCTGGAGGAATCTGTCCTGAAAGTGGAAAACAAACAGGCATCTCTGTACAAATATATATTTAACCCTCATCTTGAGAAGCCCACGCTTGCTATTGTCGGCCTGATCAAGCCTTTTGGTGCAGTGATGCCTGTTGTGGAGATGCAAGCACGTTGGATTACACGGGTCTTTAAGGGTAGGTATAGCGGGAAGGTTGGTTAGATGCGTGCTCTTTATGTAGTGGAAAAAGGAAAAGAAACAAAGTGTGTTTCAGACACATGTGGTAGAGAGAGATGACCTCACAGTCATACAGATTCCACAGGGCTCTCTTTGTGGAGAAGAATTATGCCTATTGATTGACTTTCTAAATCAGGTTGTGCCACACTTGATTTCTCCACTGTACTCTTTAGAAATCAATGGAATCCTTTGCATAAAACAAGCAAAATACCCCAGAGTGAGATGCAATAATTTTCTTGAAGATGCTCAAATATATTGTCTCAAGAGAATTCAGGACCATTGTTTTTTCCACTTGGAAAGTCCTACTGTAGTTCATCAGTGGAGTAAGAATAGGGTTCAAAGGCTTTTAAAAAAAGGTAGGAAGCCACGGTAAGAGTGTTGGCCCTACTTCATTCTGAAAGTAAGAGTGACAGCATTTATGATGTACATCAGAGGGTCTTGTTACGCAATAATTTTAGATGACTCCTGGAGCTCTTAACCCCTGGAATGTCCACACATTAATTAGGGCTGCTCTAATTAAAGTGCTGCTGCACTACCTTCGGAGCACATGTAAAAACGCCCAGGAAGACTGAAGGCAAAGTCTGCTCTCAAGGCCAGCTTAAATACAGTTGCCTGGCTATTGACACACATTACCTATTTGACTCTAAAGGCGGCTCACTGACTCAGTAACTTCCTGCCTCCCAAAAGTGCCTATTTGCTAGAGCAAACATTTTTCTTGACCTAATTAAGACCAGGAGCATAAGTGCATCCTTTCAGACATGGAGATTTGCTAATCCAGTATGCAGTCTCTCTGTTTCAAGATGTTACATCATGTTAGAGTTTTTGCTTTTAAAACATAAATTCACCATTGTCTGGTCGTAGCCTCATTTCTATGCCTCAGAGCGTGGAGGCAGGTGGCAAGGCTGATGAGTCAAAAAAGTCCTGTCAAATGCTAATTCTAAGAGATTACCTCTACTAAATGTGAATAAGTGAGAATCATTTAAGTTAATCACTGTCCCACTAAAACAACATTAGCTATAGTATAAATATATATCAAAATTACATTTATATCAAATACTAAGATACATACAAGCATAAGTACAATAAGGTTACATACAGTTTGATATTGCCTTTATATAGGACTACACATGCCACATCAGTTAAATAAACTCAAGAAATCATGCAGGACACCCCACAAACCCCCCGCACACATGAAGGTCTTAGTGAAGGCAAGCCCTTAACAGGGAAACCCTTTTCTATTTCCTAGGCCTCTGTCAGTTGCCTCCAGTGACCACCATGGTGAAAGAGGTCACCGAGAAGAAGCAGAAAAAAATTCACTGGTAAGCCAACTTTGCATAATGCAAAGGGCCTTGACTTCCATCTGGGCTAGGGACAGAAATTATACATAAACTGATATAGGTGATCAGAGACAAGTTCAAATTTGTAACACAACAGAAGTTTAATACACATAAACTGCTTTCAAAAATGGTCAAAAACAGTTTAAGATAAACCTGGATGGAGGTAGTATCAGACTTAACTGAGTTAGATTAAATTGGTTTATTGAACTTCTGTCCCAGATCCCCTCCCAATTCAAATTAACTCACAGTCCCTCAGCATCCCAGGATACTTTGCACCTAGCCTTGGCCCAAGCTGCCTGCTTCAGTCAAGTAGAGAGCCATGCTCCAGCACCCCTGAGCTCCTGGCCTGGGCCACTGCAGGCATGTGGCTGCATTTCTGGACTAAAAAGTGAATGTCTATTCGTTTGCTTATCAGTTCAATCTATGCAGGTTAGACTAACCCAAGGAGATTGAATCAATTCAGCCTCAGGCTTTTTGACTAGAAGTATGGGAAGCAACAGAAATCAGATACCAGTGCTGCAGCTATTCCCTATATCTATAATGGAGACAGCTTTGGGCTGCCTTAAAGCCCAATGTGGATTTAATTAGCTGGCAGTAACATCCCTCTTCTTTCTTTTCTAACTCATTAAGGTTTGGTTTCTCCTTCGACGAGGTTTTGAAAACAGATTGCCTTGTCTATGTTGATGAACTTGCCTCCTTCATTGGCTCAAAACCCAGTTTACTGGCCCTGTTCTTTAAGGAACCAAAACTGGCCCTGGAAATCTTCTTTGGTCCATGCACCAACTATCAGTATCGCCTGACTGGACCAGGGAAATGGGCTGGAGCCAGGAAGGCCATCCTGACCCAGTGGGACCGAACACTGAAGCCAATAAGAACACGAGTTGTAGAAGATTCTTCAAATTTTTTCCCATATTTGCTTAAAATATTTGGACTTTTTGCACTCTTTGCTGCACTGTTTCTTGGCTTCCAGTAGTCCAGAGGTAATGTACAATCCTGTAGCCATTCCTTGCCATATTATTCGTTTTGACTATGCAGCATCTCCATTTAGGGTGGCAGGGAACACACACTTCTCAAAAATGTCCCTCTCAGGAAGGTCCTTTAGAGTAGAAAGGCTTCTAAAGGTAAGGATTATACATCCAAGTTTAATCAATGCCATTGAAACATTTCTTTTACAGCTGAGCTACATATTAAGACCCTTTTTCCATGTGAAAGATGTGCAGATTTCACTAGTGGTGTGATATTAAACCATTTTAGTTAAACTGGTATGAATGATAGGCATACAACTACCATTTTTTAGGAACGGTGTCTTTCAGATCTCCTGTGCTTTCATAGTCTCCTGTGTAGGAGGGGCAAGGAGAAGCAATGCATTGCTGGAGGGGGTATTGCAGGTAGAGGGTGCATTGCAATTTTAATGGTTGCCCAGAGTGCACTCAGTTTTCTGTGGAGTGAGTGAGCATCAGAGGTAAACAGCAGATGCCCAGGGAAGGGTCCTAACTTAACTTTTCTTGTTGCCTGGCTAGTTTACCAGGAGACCCATACATATGGAAATAGCTTCTGCTCTTGCCTGTAGTGATCTTACTCTTTCTAGAGGTCATGAATCCTAAAGATGCAATTATCTCATTTCTATTACTTCATTAAGTGTCATTTGAAAGTAATAAATGTGTCAGCTCTTCCTTTAGGTTTGTTTTGACTTGACAGCCTTTTCCTTTATGATATTGTCTCTTTTTGGAAAATCAATAGTCCAAGAATTGGAATGCTGCCCTTGAATTTGGGAAACCCGGGCTCCATTCTCTGTTCTTATGAAAACTGCCTTTCTGACAGGGTTGGGCAAAATCCAGCCTGCGGGCCTTATCCAACCCACCAATTGATTCTATCCGGGCCATGGATAAGTTTTGGGTAGACCTGCATCATGTCTGTTAGCATGTTAATAAGTGTTGTTATTTTGATTAATTGTGGAAACAACATGAAGGATGGAGAACTGCTGCTGCATGTGGCCCTGCTGGCTGCTATGCCTGCCCTTGATCGCTGGAGGGCAGCAGGGCCCAACATTTCACCCCTGCGCTTGCCCACAGCAGGGCAGCAGCACTCCAGGCACCATCTTCACCAGCCATGTGCAGCAGCAGGAGAGTAGAAGCATGTGCCCAGGGGCCTTTTGTGTATGTATGGGGCCGGCAAAGTAAATGGGAAATGTTCCACAGGGAAATAAGCTGCAGTCCTGCTGCACGCATCCTCTGTCCACTTCCCTTCCCATTTTCCCCTGGTTAATGGGGGTCTTAGATGAGCAGCAGGCAGATGCAGACTGCTCCTCCATGGAGCTGCATGCTTTCTGCCCCCAGCCCTCCTGCTCATACTGCACCCACACGGATTCACCGCTCTCGTGGTGCCCACAGTAGCTGCACTGTGCTCCAGGTAGTGGTAGACATGGGGCACTCAGTGCATCCTGGTACACACCCAATTGTATGGTAATTTGGGAACTTTTTCTGGAAATGTGCGGAAATGTGATTTTTTTATGTAGAAACCTGGTAATTTTATGCAGCAGTTTGGGAACTTTTTTCTGGAATTGTGTGTGGAAATATGGTAATATTGTGCGGAAAACTGCTTGTGGTATATATAGCATAAAGTTTACACTATAAATGCCAAAACAAGTTTTAAGTATAGCTGGTGCTAAACACCATTCATTTTATGCATGCAGCCCGCAATAGCTCACCAAAATTCGTTAAGTGGCCCCCCAGCCCAAATAATTGCCCACCCCTGCTCTATGACCTTTGGCAAATCACTTCAGGCTCACTAATACTTTACTTTGTGTGCTGAGTACTGCATGTTATGGCACCTACATACAGTTCCTGATTTAGTGTTGCACCAGCTAGCCTACTGTGTGTGCTCAGAAAGACTGCACTCTGGTTCGCAGCTGCATGGGGAAGTGAGATCATCCAGTTATGTGCATAAGGCTGGGAAAATCCTACAATTTTAGTTGGGCAAAGCTCAAGAATAGCAACTGTGAGATGCTGGAAGAAGGCTCTCCCACCTTTCTACCAGGGAGCCTAGTGTTTTGGACACTTAACAAAGAGTAGGAGACCTGGGTTGTAGGTCTCTCTCATTCAGAGTTGGCTTGAACCTACATTTCCTTGTTCCCAGTTAAGTATTCAAACCACCAGACAATGGGTAGGCATTGCCCAGATGCCTCCACCTTCTGAAAAGATCATGCATGGAGCAATCCTATCCTTCTCTGTACCTCAGCTCCCCATTTATACAGTTGGGATAATAGCATTACCCTCCCTCACAGGAAGGGGCAAATACATTTATAAATTGTAATTATAAATGTCATGAAGAGCTCACTTGCTATAGTTATGAGTGGCAGACAGGTACTTGGTATAGGTAGATTAACTCATGATTATAACAGCATTAGTCCTTAGCACTTGCTTTGTTTGGGAGGTTTAATTATCTTTGCTGCCATAGACTAGGTAGGAAATAACTGTCTTGCCATTCATTCTAAACATTTGCCATTTAGCATATACCTGGATGTGTAGTTAGTCCAAAACGTGGTACCTTGGGTGCATCTACACATGCCGATTAAAGGTGCTTTAGCCTGATTTAAGGTGCATTAAGCAAGTGTGCGATTAAAATGGTGGTTTTAGGCTATTCACACTTAAATCTGATACCTGCAAAAGCAGGTGAGAAATTTATGCACAAATAACAAAAGCATCTTAACACACATGTAGACGCACTACAGTGCATTGACGCTGTGTATGTTGACTGACTTGGGACTAACTTTAATCCGAAATTGGTCCATACACCACGTTAATGCGCCTTAGCACATACATGTGTAGACACGCATCTAAATCACCTTAATGCACATTAGGCAAATGCATGTTAAGTTTAGGCACGTGTAAAAGCACTTGTAGACATGCCCTTTGAAGACCATCATGTAAACTTTCAGTGTCTTTTAAACAAAAAGAAAAGAATTAAGTGCTTAAAATGAGTCTTATCTCTTCCTTGTCCAAGTTTCTCTAGGAGCTCAAAGAGCCTGGCCAGTGTCCACTGATAGCTAGAAAATGATATTTAGAGATTTGCTTTTAGGAATTGGCTTGTAGGTAGAGTAAATATTGCATTCGAACAATGGTCCAAGGGAATGGCACGGGTTAATTGGTTTCTAAAAGTCTGTTTGTGAGAGTTTCACACTCTTAGCCTTCCTGATGGAGAAGATGCTGGCTAGTGTCAACTGGCATTTACAAATTCTGGAGGGTTGGGGATTTGGGTTGGGGGTTTTTTGTTTTGTTTTGCTTTGTTTTGGGGATGGGAGGCGGGTTGTATGAGTTCAGCAAATTCATCCTCTGCTTCTGAGTGCTTAGACCCCTACAGGAGATCAGAGGCTGTTCACATGAGATTAGCAAACTCTGAAGTCCACCCCAATGACTTCCTCTTAACCCATCTCAGTCCCTATATTTATATTAGACCTTTGTCAAATGGGTTCTCAGAGTCCAGCTCTCTATTTCTTTGCTGTATATGTGGACATCGAGGAAATGGTATCAGTGTACTACCAATTTCTTTGATCCTTTCCTTTTCAGAAGCTATGATTTCTGCAATTCCAGGATTAGATTTCTCTCTTAACACATACTACTCATTTGAATCCTCTTCCCTTTTTAAAGCTATTTCTTTCTATATTTCAATATATGTGTTGGCTGGCTGCTCATGTCTTGTTCCCTTTCTTTCCTATACCATTCCTATAATTTGTTGGCAGAGAGAATCATTTAGAAAGAAAACCAACAATGAAGCCCTTTGTGCAAGGACAAGGCTGAGAAGAGTCCACCTCTTAGGTAAGAGTCCCAGCCATGCTCCTACTCACTTACTCCCTATGCCTTGGTCCAATGAAACCTGAATTCATTTTTTTTGCCGCCTGCAATCCAGAAGAAATCCATTTCTCTCTCTGAGCACAGGGTGATCCTGAGAGATCAGAGAGGATCAGCAAAATGATCCTTGGGAAGGCATACCCCAAATTTGACAGATTTGCCTTCATGAAAAGGGGTATGTGTGGTCTTAGAACACCTTCCAACTAAGTCCTGCTACTACTGTGAGGCTCAGACGTACATTGCTTTTGATTTGGGTAATAGGCATGCACCATTTTGTAGACGTTTATGTTTCCAGGCCTGTCTTTGCAAAGAGAAAGAGATAAAAATTAAGGGTAGAATTTTCCATCCTGACAGCCCCTTTTGACCCATTCCAGCAGTGCAAAAAGAACTCTATTTGTTGCATGCTGTCCAATGAAGGGCACCTTTCCTACAGCCCACAGTTCA